CTAATTGTAAAATTATTGTTATTTTATTTCTGTTCTCCATAAACAGAGAAAGCAATCTATGCAATCATAAATAGATCAAATAGATAAATAAAATGTTTACTAATATGTTTTTTTAAAAGAAATTACCAAGTAATTTTTGTTTCTTATGCACCATCTTTCAAAAAACAACCCGGAATAAATCAAACAATAAATGGAGATTAATAATATAAAATCTAAGGTACCTGTGACAAATAAGACGCTTGTTAATTTTTATTACAATTATCTCACAGATCACAATTTTAATCTAATTTTCTTCTTGAATTATGAATTGTTTATTACAATACTAAAACACATTTATTTTAATGCTTAAAAGGTAAAAAGACTCCTAATATTTTAATGAAATTAGTGTAGATGCAATGGGCCCCCACTAAAATTGGGTTTTAATATGGCCCACACATATTTCTAATATAGCATTGAGTAATAGGACTTATAATTTCTCAATAAATCAACAAGATTCAAATGGAAAGCAATTTTGATTCATAAACTAAATTTAAAGTATATTCGGGTCTATTCTGCAATGCTTTTGGTTAAATTTTAACGTCAAGGCCACAGATAAAATTTTAACCTCCCATTGTTTAACCCGATACTGTATTCTGTGAAAATTTTAATGACTTTATTTTAACCAAATATGTTAAAATTTAGCGGGACCAAAATAGATGCTGTTAAAATTTAACCTGGCTTAACAAATGATATAATTATTGATCTCTATTATTTATAATGACCATACAAATTAAATCATTTCAAGCTTTATTTTCAACCACAATTTAATATGCCTGCAATTTGTTGTAAAATATTGTTGACTTCCAAAAAGTCAACAATTAACTGGATCTGCTTTTTTGTCGTATTTCTTTTTTTTATCCTCCAGCTAAATCACAAGAATCTTATAAATTGTTTACTTTATTTGTACTAATCCACCAATCGAGGTTATACTATCACAAATGGACGTCTTTTACCCATAGAAAAATGTAAAAAAATATAAATATTTTTATGCTTTTACCTTACTGCTAACTTCACTAACAGTGAAAATTAACGTACAGCAAAAATATTAAATGAGAGTTGGTAAACGTTAAAAAAAATAAAATCTTTTTTTATGATGCCCGTTCCCCATGGGTCATGAATACCAAATTTCAGTAGGCTTATACCTCAACAAAAAAATTAAGAGAGCAGAAAGATTTTAAAATTTTTTTAGTGATTTTTGAAAGGTACTTCGTGCGTAATGATCGTGTCGAGAAAAAGAATGAAGCATCTTGAAGCTTGAAGATTCTAGTTTTAAAATCTTGAGATGAAACATTTTTTTGAGCATCACTTTCGGCGCAATCAAAAGAAATAATGCAACGCAAAAATTTTACAAATTTTTTCTTCATAACTGCCCATAGGCTCAGAATTTTTTTTCTGCCTTAATCAATGCCGGGGTCCTATATACACCAGGCAAATTAGCGAAAAAAAAAAGAAACTCGAAAAAAGTCCTATCCACGAGATTATTGTAAAATTGTCTAAAAGAACATAATACACGACATCTCTCATCCCGTGAGTCAAAAACTTTTATTAGGTAACTTTTCTATTTAAACAAATAAGTGAGGAAAACAGTTTTTTCACTTTGCAGGGAAAACCATCAATTTTAGCGAAAAGTGATTCTCAGGGAGTAAAATTATCTACAAAATGAGACTTGTTAAATTAAAATCGGTTAATGAACAAAAAAGTTATTGCAAAAAAACAAGAAAAGTGCCCATTTTTTAATTTGTTTATAACTATCGCATTTATTGTTAAAATTTTATAAAACCTATGACAAGTTGAGGGTTTTGTCATA